GTAACCATGGGGAGAGAGACACCGCAGACTCCAAATATACAGCAGGTGACAGGGTCGGGTTCGAACCCACGACTCCCTGCGTACCCATGAAACCCGGTCACCTCGCTGCCTCCCCCACCGCCCATGTCCCCCCACTCCCATCTGCCCACCCACATTGCCCCCCCCCCCACCAGCCCCGAACAAATTCTCACATGCAAGCAGGACCTGCACAATATCGCCGGTGATTACAGGGAAATAATACGGTGCTATGGCTCCCGCTGCCAAAGGAGCAATCTCGCGGCATGGAGGCCCATCTCGCGAGACACTTTTCCCTCTCCTTGCTCTCTCGCTTTGTAATTTTCTCTCAAACTTTTCTGACAAAATGTACGGCACCCCCACCCCCTCACCCCCCGCCTCCTCGTCCCACCCATGTTCATTTTTTTTTTAAACTTAACAAAACTCCGATCGTTTTTTTGTGTTGTTTGCTGCGGGGCCCAATTCGCCGGCTGGTTTAACCCCCTCGATGCTCGCTGTGCAGAGGGGGGGGCGACGCGGCCATCGTGCAACGCTGCCACGCGGCAAGCACATGGGGCCCGAAGTCTGAGGCACGCGCTCCATCAGCGTCGCACTTGTTCATTTAAATAAAATAATAATTGTTTTTTTTTACACTTTTATCTGGCAACAAAACTGACACCTTTTTTTTACAAGGAGTCATGTTTACATTGGCCACAATACCTGCGGTCGGAACGCAAACAAAAAAACAACAACTCTGATAATGTATGCTTTCTTTAGAGCCTGTCTCGGGTGTGGACCAATCAATTTCAAGGACAGTGCATACATTATCAGAGTTGTTGTTTTTTGTTTGCGTTCCGACCGCAGGTATTGTGGTCAATGTAAACATGACTCCTTGTAAAAAAGGTGTCAGTTTTGTTGCCAGATAAAAGGGTAAAAAAACAATTATCATATTTTGTTACTGGCAAATGAGGTTTCCAATGGTGTAAATGCTTACCCCGAGCTCTCATACTCTGATGGTGCATTGTCTTTGAGTTGTGCGCCTTTTGGCGTCTTCTGGTCCAACACCATGTGAGACGAGGCTCTAAAGAAAGCTGTCTCGGGTGTGGACCAATCAATTTCAAGGACAGTGCCACATACATTATCAGAGTTGTTGTTTTTTGTTTGGGTTCCGACCGCAGGTATTGTGGCCAATGTAAACATGGCTCCTTGTAAAAAAAGGTGTCAAGTTTGTTGCCAGATAAAAGGGTAAAAAAAACAATTATCATATTTTGTTACTGGCAAATGAGGTTTCCAATGGCATTTAAATCAACTTACCACTGCTGAAGCAAGGCCAACCCCGTGTCAGTCATGGTCAGGTTCTTTGGACCAGACTTTAGTAATAATTTACTTATGATGAAAATAATAATAATTTCAACTTGTAACGTGCCACGCAGTGTTTCTCACTGTTGTAGGGAGCATCCTGGAGGTGAACCGGCGCAAAGTATCCCCCTGCCCCAAGCTCTGCGATCCTCTACACATCAAGGTGTTATCGGCCCAATTCGTGAGTGTTTACGTGTGGGAGGAAGCTGGAATACCTGGAGAAAACTCACACGTGCGGAGGGGAAAATAGCCAGATGGAACAAGTGGAGTATACAAGCCTGGCTAGGCACCTCAACGCGCGTGGGGAGGTTTCAGCAACATTTGGAGCAATTGGCGGGACCCCGGGGTCCCATCACTGCCCCGGGGTGGGAAAAAACCACGTAGCGACACGAGTCTTGCCTTACCGACAATGGATTGGCCTCGTCGAGAGCTACTCGGGGCACTAAGTTTCGTAAAAAGTTGAAAAATTACATAATCATGTTAAATTCACTGCCTGGGGGGCGGGCTCGCCTTGGCAAAGAAGCCGAGGATCGACGGCTGACCGGAGGGCGTCGTCGCCGCGCGCGACTGCGGGCGGACGCCCCCCGGGGCTTGCGTTTGGCCGGTGGGGTGGCGCCCATCGTGTCGATCGCCGCCTGCTGCTGCTGCTGCTGTTGGCGCGAGTCTGGGCGGGCGGCGCGTTGCTGTCGGGATCACGTAGTGGGCGGACTGAAAGATAATAATTATTGACCTGATTTTTGCGGGACCCCGGGGTCCCGCCAAATGATTCGTTTGTGCGATGATCCACCAATCCTCGCCGCCTCCACAGTGCTGGATTACGGTTCCAGGTGTGCCACCTCACCACGCTGGTGAACGGGGGCGGGGGGGGACCAGAGCCGGTTCAGATGCCATTCGCGCGTGGCGCTGGCGTTTTTTTTATATATAAATACACCGTCTAAAAATAAATTAATTAATGCGGACCGACACTTCTTTCAAATGTTTCTTGCCGTTGGTTTTTTCACACCTGATGACGACCGTTTGTGTTATGGTCGAAACGTCGTGAGAATTTTTATTGTTTTATATATATTTTATTATTTTATTGTTTCCCTTCAACGTGACTTTACCGAAAGAGCTAAGAATATGAATAGTCAGCTATCATTCACAGCAGTGAAGGAAACAGGGCTGGTGATGTGAGTGAAAGCTTCGGGATTCTGTGGTGATCATGACGAGGTGGGTGGGGGTGAGGATGAGCTGATGGGGGTGTGGTGGGGGGAAGGGGCTGCCTCTTTTTTTGTTTCTTTGTGGCCGTGGTACAATTAGTCCGGGGCCTTGGTGCATTCAAGACGATGAAAAAAGAGAATAAATCCTTGAGCTGTCACCTAAAAAAATGATTAATAAACCGCGCCAAATCCAGGGCTCAGATCCAGCTGCTTCTGTCCGGGTCGGCGACGCGGAAAACATCTCCACACCCGGCACACCACGTCCAGTATACAGTACGGTACCTCCCACTGTGGCTGTGGCTACTGCGAGTCACGTGCCAACTACTCCAGCGGCGACTGAGAAAAATTTCTGCATGCAGCACACCATCTACGTATTATATGTTTTTTTTTACTTCTTTCGCACCGTACGTGGCCAACCGTGCTAATCGGAGGTGCGGGGGAAGGACAACAAACTAAATACAAAAATCAGTTTTTTTTGTTTATAAATTAGTTTTTTAATCTAGATTTAAAAGTGCATAGCACCCAGTGGCTTCCTAATATCGGAAGGAAGAGCATTCCAGACGGCCACAGAAGCGCATTTGAAAGCGTGCGACGCCGTGACCGTCTTTGTGATGGCTAGGCATTTGCCGCTGCGATGACGACGGGAGTCCGCGTGATGGTGGTATACGGTTGTGTTCGTCGCGTGCCGCCTACTCCAGCCTACCAGCGACCCGGGAAATATTCGGTGAACAACGGGGCCCTGGGCGAGGCGCACACGAGCAGAGCGTGACTCCCCGTTCTGCGAGCTCTCGCTTGCAGAACGGGGGGAGGGAGGCGGGTTGGCTACCTGCGGGCGTTGCGCCAGATTCTCAAAGGATGGAGGAGGAATCCAATGAGCGATGAAGCTCTTGTTCCACAGACGTCCAGAAATGCAGTGCACTGGCGATCAGCCAAGTCGGAGGAAGAGGTCTGCACAGGTTTGTCTGGAGCCAGTCGGTGGCCGTCGGTGGGAAGATTACAGCAAAGCGGCGGACATTCCAGCACGTTGCAGCGGTGCTAATCTTAGTCACAGTCGTAGTCCAGTCGACGGTAACCCGTGCCGTTTAAGTCGAAACTCAGTCTCTGGATGTCGATAAAAATTCTAAACTTTTTTTTATTTTACCAGGTAAGGCTCACTGAGCTGTGTAGCTCTTTTTAAGAAGCGACCTGGCCACAAATGATACCTCAACGAAGTGGCTCATTACGTGGAAATATATAGCAGCCAAATACTCTAAACGCCGTGATATCGATTCTAAATGTGGAGTTGAAAACCAGAGGACCCTGAGAAAAATCCACGCGACCACGGGGAGAGAGACACCGCAAAATCCAAATATACAGCAGCAGGCGTCAGGGTCGGGATTGAACCCACGGCCTCCTGCATGCGAGGTGAGCGAGTTAACGTCTTGACATCTCGTCGACAAAGCAGCCACAATGTTCAGTCAAGCGCTCCGAATCACTCAACGTTGGTGACGAGGGGCGCGCAATCCCATCCCCTTAATATTATCGGGCTAGTCAGCCAATCAGTGAGCCAGTAAATATTGGTATATAGGTAAACAGCCAATAAGTTTGATCTTTCTATCAGTGCACCGCAGTCTCTATTAACGCCGCTAAATTATCCCAGTCCGCGCCTTCACTCAGACGCGTTCATTTCTCCTCGCCACGGACGGTGGCGCTTTGCTCCTTGGTGCAGGAGTCGTCGTTGTCGCCGCGCTTGGCGATGTCCACGAGGGCTTCGTCACGGCCGTCGCCCTCTGAGGTGGAAGCAAAAAAGAGCACGCGTCTCTCTCGACCAATATTTCCGCCACCGAATGTCGTGAACGACCTTGACTACGTCCAGCGGAGCCAAGGGTGAGTGCCAGGGGGAGGCTGCACATTCCATCGGCGGACAGTCGCGCGCATACATCGAGTTCCTGCTTTGGGGGCAAGGACATTGTCTTTCCTCGGTGGGGGTGGGGATTTGATATTCCTTTCAGCAAAAGTTTCTAAGGGTATACAGTACGTACGTGTATTCAAAGAGCTTTTGTTATGCGCTATATTTATATATTATTTCGAACACCACGAGGTTGGCGAGTGCACCCGTAATTTGCTGCACGTCTAAATGAGCTATTGAATCAAGGCGACCCAGGCTGTGACATCAGCGCTCGAGATTTTAATGCGATGCTTTTTATGCTCATGGGCTCTCGGCCTGGCCTCTCTCTCTTGATCTTCATTCCCCCCCCATGACCCCCCGACCTCCCACTCAGTCCTCGCCTCCTCCCACTCCATCTCCACCACTCTCCCCCCCTCCACTCCATCCCCCCCTCTTCATCATCTATTATTCTCTCATAGCCACACACCAACCGTCTCCCCCACCCACCCCACCACCGTGCCCTCCGGCTTCTCTCATGCTCACCTCTCTCCCCCTCTCCATCTCACTCCACCGCCTCCGAGCCTCCCTCCCCCGCTCCCGCTCTTCCTCACCTCGCACCTCCTCCCCGCGCGATCCGCTCCCTCTCGCTCCGTCCTTGCGTTCCCCCACCCCGCTGGGCCGGCGTGCGTGCGCTAGAGTCGCCTCGGCGGCGGGCGAGCAGCGGACTCGGTGCCCTCTCCCATCGCGGGCTCGTGCCGCTTTGCTGCCGGGAGACGGCAACACGCGATCCACGGAGGAGGAGGAGAAGGAGGAGGCAGGGGGCCGGAGCCGAACCACGGAACGCTCCGGAGAGGAGACGGAGCGAGAGAGAGAGGTGGACTCGGGATCGCACGCGCGCTGCCAGGTAAACTCACGCGCGCGCGCCCGCACTCCCCTCCTGCGTGACGCCACGTGGGAGCGTCTGCGACGCCGACCCTCGTCAATGTTGGGGGGTCGTCCGGTGCGCAAGGCGCTCTTCGCTCGGATGAGTGCGCGCGCGAGAGAAGGAACCTTTCCCCGTGGCGCTGCGTTAAGCGAGCGCGCAGGAACCTCCCCCACCCCCCACCCCCCTCACGAGCTGACCGCGGCGGCACTTTTTGGGGGCGACGTGGTCGCGGGACGGATAAAGACGAGAGACACCGCTTGCGCTTTTTAACGGCGACTCTCCTGCATCGGGTGACGGACTGAGTTCCGACAGGTTCCACAGAGCGCTTTAAGAAAATTACGGTACAAAACGAGAGACCCGCGGTCTCGACGGGCACCCGCTTGGTTACAAGTAATATCCATAGACACAAATTGCGTGGCTTCGCTTGCGCGCGTACGCGGCGAGCTTCATTAACACGGCCGCCGAGCGTCGCTTGGGAGAGATCCACGCCGACAGCAGCGACGGTCGCGCCTCTGTCACGGCACGTGGAGCGAGGGGTCGCCGGGGGGCCCAGCGGCGCGGCTCCCAGGTGGGGCCTGGGGAGCCCCGCGACGCCGCTTCCCCACGGCGCGGCCTCCGTCAAACGGCGCTTGCTGAAATGACAGCGGGATGTTTGGCTTTGTGCCGCAGCAAAATCCAAACGATCCCTCCCCTCCTCCTACCCGCCCCCCCCCCCGGGGGGGAGAGGAGGAGGAGAGGGGGGCTAAAAAGGTTGCCCTGTCTGGCTCATGCTCTCTGCTGCGTGGCTTTGATACATTTGCCCTTTTTTAATTCATGAGCAACCTTTAAAAAAAACTATCGGGGACAACATTCGGGACCGGGTGGGCGGTACCGCCATGCATTATTGCAATAAAAATAAACCGGAGGGAGATTTAGAGGTTTTTATTTCTATTTTGCAAAGCTGTCAAAGTGGGGGCCTTGTTGAAAGCCCCAGGACCATTCGCCTTTAGTTGTGAAAAAGGGAAGTAAAAAAATAAAACATCACTTACCTTTACATTTGATAAAAAGTGGCAGCAAAGATTTCGGTGGATTTTATTTCTGAGAGGAGTTATCTTTACCCGTTCCTGACGTAATATAAAAGAGCCCCGCTGTTAGTGGGTGGCACGGTGGCGTGGTGACCCGGGGAACCCGAGTTCGATTCCTGGCCACGGCTATCATCAGAGGCGAGTCATGCCTGCACCGGTCCTTGGCTCCCGATGTGCACTGACCGTAGTGGTGAAGTATGGTGGAACAAAACAATCCCCACGTCCGACGGGGTGTTTGGGAGACCTTCAATCTGACAGAGGATTGACAATGGGGCTGCATCATTATTATTATTATTAAATTTTTAAGTGTATGAGGAATGATCATGAGAGGATGCCTCATATCTCCCGATTACGATCAAGAGCGGCTTAGAGCAGACAGAGTGCTTTTGTTAACGCAATCAGAGGTTTAGTTGTGGTTTTTTTCTCTTCTTATCAAATATATTCAAATGGATATTTGTCTTTTACTCCAAGGTTTTACTGAGAAATATTGAAATTGCTACGGGCAGGACAGTAAATCCAATGCAAGAGACTTCTAGAACACAAATCGCCGCCGAGCTCCTGACGAGAACACACGTGGCGCTTTTGCACTCTGCGATTCATTCGGCTGCTCGCTTCTCGCGTTTTTATTTATTTAAAGGGCCGCGCTTTTTCGGGGCCGCGTCGACACGGCCGTCCACAAAGGTGCAGCAACAACAACAAAAAACCCCAAAACACAACAACGCATCTTACCAACGGGGAAAATTTTGCAACAAAACGTTACATTCTGAAACGTAAACAACGTCCGGCACGGTCGGAAGGCCGTGATTCGTGCGGAGCCCACACGGAGCCATGCGATCCACGTGGAGGCACGCGGAGCCATGCGATCCACGTTGGAGCCACGCGGAGCCATGCGATCCACGAGGCACGGAGCCACGCTGAGCCACTCGGAGCTACGCATGCCGCAGCTGCTCAGTTTGTAGTTCAACATTTAATTGATTTGGTGCCTGCCGCAGCTAATCACCGGCAGGATTTACCGCTTCAGGCGGGCGCAGTTTATTAAAATTAGCGCGGACGCGACCATATGGCGGGGTGTTTATTTGCTTGGCTTAAATGTCAGCGCCGCTGAAACGATAGCGCCTCTCAGTCTGGGGCTTTGAGCGGCGCCAGGTGTCTCCGTGCCTGGAATGTCAACCCGGGGGAGCGGGCGAGCCACCGCGAGCGCCTCCCTCCCCGATGCCACGGAGAATTCACCGGCGCCGGCGTCCGTTGTTTCGTTGTCACCGTCGCCTCCTCGCGATGGGTAGTAATCGCGTTTACATTGACGATGCTGTAGCTGCTGCCTGCTGCTGATACGTGCGGTGCGAAATAAGTTCAACGGAGTGTATACAACAACAACGAGCCACAAGGCTACTTCGAGAGCAAGATGTTTGTGTCAAATTAATATAATGTGTGATCAGTCAGAATTACAGCAACAATGATGGTAACCATGGCCGATTATGCTGAAAACAACACGCCCTCTCCCAGACACCGCTCTCGCTCCGCGGGTTTTCGTGGCTTGTGCTGCTGTGCGGCTCTCCACTGTGTTCACGGTTCGTACCGCACGTTGTTCGGCATGATGTCCGACGTATCGCTCCACGCGCTGGGAGCTTCTTCAGGAACCGATTTTTGTTCAAGCTGGAAACACACCGGAAAGAGAGAGAGAGCCGCTACCAGAGACGTCGTGGCCGGAGCTTGCGTGGTTTCCGTAATGTCCAGGGTCAGTTTTCCGTGACGCAAAGGGCCCATCAAACGCGTTCTCGCCGCCAGGAGCGCCCGGTGCCGTTGAGTTGTGGCCGTGCCCCTTGGGCTTCGTTTGGCCCGCGTGGACACCTCGAGTGTCTAGGAGAAGTCTCGCAGTCTTTTCATACCTCACGGGCACCTGTGGCTCTCTCTACACTGGATCCCGGCCAGAGTTCCAACTTCATTCGTTGAGGCCAACCACCACACTGCTACTGTTGGGGCAAGTGCTGTTAGCGAGCACCTATGAATGAGGGCACGACACACGAGGGGGTGGGTGGCCAGCACCACGCCCAGCCGTCTTTGTATCCCTGGTGGTGATGTTGAGGCTGTCGACCCAGGAGAGGCCTAGGACCGGTTCAGATAATTTTCACGTCGCAACTACATGCTCACTCACCCACCTACCTACACACTCACCCACTCACCACACTGCAGGTTACAATTACACACTTGTAGTGGGTTCACGGGACACGGAGACGGTGGAATAGAGGCAGCACTGTTTATTCAACTTAACAAGGGTTACACTGGAAGGGGTAACGGCCCCTTCACCCGTATACACGCTGAGACACCCCCTAGGCTATCTAGCCTAATTCCTGTGCTCCCAGTTCCTCCAGCTACAGGCGCTAGAGGAGGCTATCTGATCTGGCCCTGGTCAAGCACAGATCACGGCACCCCACCATTCAGACCGACCCTTAAAAGTGCTGAGGCTCTGGGGCCGCACCACCGGCTTACCCTGCCGGCCCTTAAAAGGACAGCGGTCAGGGAAGTCCCAGGGTCTATCTAGCCGGCCTTCCTTCTTCACTGGTTCTTCATTCTTGGCCCCAACACACTGCCCTGAGCTCTCTGGCTCCCCCGCCCTTTATACCCATACACCACTGAGGGCGGGGCTATAGCGGACGTGGTTGTAGCCACCAAGGTGTGGCTGTGTGTCACTTTCCCACACTGTGTGTTACCTTCCCACAACACCCCTACACACTCACCCACCCACTAACCACAATGCAGGTCACAACTACAGCGGTTGAGTGAGCGGCTCGCAATTGGAAGGTTGTAAGTTCACATCCTGACTGGGGGGTTAACTTAGCCCACCGTCCCTCCAGAGTCGATACAATTACCACGATATTTGTGGGGTGATTATCCAGACCCGCCCCTGCCACAGAAATGTTGAATTTCCACCACTGGCTCTAGGCTATTCTAAACATTAATGAGCACTGCTTCAATTTGAGCGAGAAGCCTCTAACTCAATTCCAACTTTAATCATGCTGTTTGTTGTGGGCCGCTTGGCATTCTTGGCTTCTAGTCCTGTGCCCAGGGGATGGCCTCTGAGAGTGGCAGTGACCGTGGCTGTGTGGGGTCACGCCACGTCGCCTCCCCCATGATATAAATCAATCGTTGAATCAAAGCCCTTGTTAATAACCACGTGCTTTAAATGTTGAGATTGATCAAAGTTGACCACTCATCGAGGCGTGGGTGACAGAGGTTTCTATTGCGTGTTTTAAAAAGATCAGTGGGGCGGCTGTCGAATGTGTGCAGGCGGTGCAACTGCACCGGGGCCCACAGAGAGTGGGGGGAGTTCGGGTGACCGGACTACATAGGGAAGTTATAGAGGTGGGGGGGAGGGGGCAGAAACCAATTTCACTCCTTGCACCCCGTGCCAACCACCCGACGCCACTGATCGACACGGTGGCTATGAGATGTTAGCTAACTCGCCTGGTATACAGGAGGTCGCGGGTTCGATCCCTACCCTGAAGCCTGTATATTTGAAGTTTGCATGTTCTCCCCGTGGTCACGTGGATTTTACTCTGGGTCCTCCTGTTTTCCCCTCCACATTTAGAATCAACGTGCGTTTAGGGTATTTGACTGCTATACATTTCCACTCGATAGGCCACTTCGTTGAGCTATCATTTGTGATAGCCAGGTCGCCTCTGAAGAATAGTTATACAGCTCAGTGGGCTTTACCTGGTAAAATAAAAAAAATTGTTTTAGTTTGGTTTAGACATGGACACACTCACTACCGCATCGGTGTCACTGCGGCTGTGCCCTCCGGCACTGCGACGTCTGCTCATGTCGTTCTGTCACAGACGTCCGACGTTCAACGCTCCACGTGCGCTGAAAGCGTAGCTTCCCAGCATGCGGCGGGAAACGTCGGATGTCGTGCCGAAC